TTTATCACCACACATTCTAATCAGGTCATAGGTTAATAAAGTTTTGGAACTTGGTGCATTTGCTCTGATGAATTTTGAATTATGAAAGGGAATTCCAATATTTAAAAAAAAAAAAAAAGGATTTTCTCAAACACTTTAAAATTACAAATGTTCCAAAATATTTCTATTTCAAACAAACAAAAATATTCCGGGAGGAAAAAAAAAGAGCTGTTTTCAATGTTGAAAAAAAAAATCTGAAGACTGAAAGTTCAGCTTTGCCATCAAAGGAATAAATTACAACAGAAAAGTGTGATTTTAAATTACAAAAAATATTTCACAATATTATTGTTTTTACTGTATTTTAATCAAATAATTGCAGCCTTGGTGAGCATATAAAACTACTCTAATAAAAAAATACAAATCTTACCAACCCCTACCTTTTTAACAGTAGTGCCAAAACGATATTTTAAAAAAAAAATCGATTGAAACCCTGTTTGAGCAATTTCAGTTACCGTTTGAATTTCATAATATAAAGTCTCAGTGTTTATATGGTCCACTGTATCAGAAACAAATCAAATTGTGACTTTTTGCTTAGCCGTTTTCTGTGAATGTGCGAGACTTCCGGTTCATTAACTACTGTAGGGAAATATGAATAAGATTGCCGTAAACGGTAAAACTGCTTGTGCAACAAACCAGTGAGTTCATAATTAAGATAATACACTAAAATAATATGGTAAGACACACCACTTTGCAATATCAAGCAGCAAAACGAGCTGTTTTGTACAACTAAAAATAGCTGGACGTGGATGACACTGGAAGCCAGACATTACATTTTAAAAATAAACAATTTGCCCACTCATACGGGAAAAATAAGGTGGATAGATCAAATACAAAGTGTTCGAAATTTCTTAAAATATTTATTAAAGAGTCCATAGACATTACCTTACATGCTAATTACATTAGCTTATGTTTTCAGTTAAGACTGTAAACTTATGCTTGCATAAGCTCATATTCCTACTTACAATTCATGTGTCGTAAAACAATCATTAAAAATGAAAATCTAATTACATATTACAACATTGGAAGTCCATATCGCTCACCTGACAAACAGAATTCATGCAGTTTACACATTCATACAATCACAGTATGAAGCATCAAAGTGAATATCTCCCAGACTGCACTCTCTGACCGGAGGGAACAGACTCTTAATGCTACAGGAAGTGTTCCAGAACTTTCTAAGCGCAATATTTCATTCACATCAATTAAAAGTAAGACAGGAACGAAGAAACTGGACTTATAAATCGTTAATGTTCATCTTTGGCCTCAAGTATACAAGTTTGTATTTACTTGTATAAACAAAATAGCTAAATAGCAAAACCGTCATAAGAATTCAGAATTCATGTGTTTTGAATGAGATTTAACCATGGTAAGTGGACGGCCCTTCCCAATCCTGGCCTATGTGGTTTCGGCTGGATGGCCTGCGACTGCCCATGAATCTCTTCAGTGTTTCTGAGGAACTAGGACGTAACCAGGGGTCTGTGGCAATGGTGTTGATGGAAACGCGCCGGTTGGTTGAAGGAGGAGTCTGTGGCCATAGCTCCTCCCCTTCCTCTGTTGACACTTCCCCTAGATAGCACAAAAGATACATATCTCAGTACTTCTAAGTACATTTATGGCTTTGTGTTTAGCAAGCTAACAGCTTAGCATAGCGCTAACTGATCAAGAAAAGCTTTTGAGTAGCTAAAACAAGATATCACAATTGAATTTTTTTTACATCGTGTACTTTGGATTCTAGATATACCCACCCCTAAAAATCACGCAAAACAGCAAACTGCAGTTGGTCGTGTTAAGCCCAAAGTATTCTTTATTTTGCGTAAGGTGCAAATGCCAACATCAGCATAGTACTGTATGTGTGCAGCCCGATGTTGCTAACCTTGCATACTCCGTAACCCTCAGCTCACATATACGCCTTGAATTTTTTTTGAACTAATTACTTTGTCCACAAGGTGGCAGCACTGGCACGGGACATTGCAATCGAAATAGAAATTGATTGATGACAACAACAATAGACCAAACGCTTGCGTGAGAGGATTAAGAGACACCCACAACTCTAGTTTAAAAGAGTACAAAGACATTTTTATCACCCATAACTTCTGGAGAGAAATAGCGCAGACACTGGACAAAGTTGAATCTTTCTAGTTCGTATGTGTTTAGTCATTCAATTAAATGGAGTAAACTTTGAAAGGCTACACGTTCTGCTGTATGCATACGCTAAAAGCCCCCAATATACTTAAAGCGAAATCGAAGAATGAACTGATGTGATGTCATTTCGAACAAACATTTCGTTCAAACCAAAACTGAGTTCAAAAGTTTGCTCTGACTGGTAAACACATTCAAACTACCATTCAAACTAAAACTGTTCGCTAACAATATACTGCAGCTCAGTTGTTTGAAACTTCTTTTTAACACTAAGCAAAGTGTAAAACTCTGCTGTGCGTATATCAAGACCTTAAGCGACCCCATCAAAACTAAAGTTAGGGTGACCATTAGGGCTGCAACGATAAATCGATGCAGAATCGATTCGTGGATGGATTCTGAGATCTTCTGAATGCATCGCGATTCTCTCTGGAATCGATTCTGATCTTAGATTTTAACAGCAGATGGCGCTCTAATCTAGTTTTTATCTGCACACTCAAATGCTCATGAAAAAATGCTGAAGAGCGCTTGTGCGTTTGGCGAGTCATGTAATTTCACCTCAGCTCAGAATGATTTTATAACGCGAGGTTAATGTAAACACAGCCCACTGTGAACACCCTTGTAATTCGCTTCAACCTTTTCGAATTTTATGAATGATTATTTTAGGTTCAAGTGTGTGCAAGGATTTGGAACCAAGCCAAGTACGGCATGCAGCGCCATCTGCTGTTCAAAACTAAGCTCAGAATCGACTAGAGAAAGAATCGCGATGCATTCGGAAAATCTCAGAATAGATGCGGAATCATTTCTCGATTCGCGATGCATCGATTTATTTTCCCAGCCCTAGTGACCATACGTGCCCTTTTTACCAGACACGTACTAGCCCGGATTTCTATATTGCCTAAAATATCCAGGTTTTGGCTTTGTTTGCACTGTACAGACCGATCGGTGTTATGAAATCGAAGTACCGTGAGCTGTAGAGAGCAGACTGCTCATTATGCTTTCGAATCGATCTTGTGGTACTTTGATGTCATACCCTGATCCGTCTGTGCAGTGCCGCTTCAAGTCAAACACCTAATATGTAAGCGCATTTGCATCACCTTGACGTTCTCTGTAGATCCCTCCTCATCACATGCCACGATTGGTCGATTATGTACAACGCCTGCATGTTATTGGTCAAACTACTTTTCGATCATTACCTTCAGCAAGTATGAAAACAAAGCCAAAACCTGGATATTTTTGGCAATATAGAAATCCTGGCCAGGACGTGTCCGGGAAAAAGAGCATGTATGGTCACCCTACTAAAGTATACTTGGTCTCTTCCTGTCAGAGTGTGCCAGATTAAGCTGGAGTGTTGACCAGACTTAACACCAATAGTCAAATGTAGTCTGGATGGACAAGACTAACCAACCCTAGGTGATCTCCTTTCGGATTCAGAGCTCCTGACCTGATCTCCAATCATGTTCTCTCATGTTGTTCAGCGATGTCATCTTGTTCTTTGTGCGCTCTCTCAGATGCTCTATTTCTGTGCTGGTTAGCGAGTGCAGAGACTGACTGTCAGGACTGCTGTCAGGTCGAGCGTACCGGTTTATCACCTACCGACAAAACAAAAGTACAGTCATTCAGCACTGGTCAGTCATTCAATGCACATTCTAGCTCTGTTCCAAATCCCAACCAAAATGGCTTCTAAATAGTAAGCAGGCTTTAAAGATACCTTGTTTTGACCAAATTCTTAGGCAGGATGCATGTAATACCATAATGCATTGCAACAATTGGAGTTGTTGCCTATAGCTGTGTCTCATTTAGAAGGCTGCCCCCTCCGGAGGTTGCATTAGAAGGCTGCATACGTCATCGAGGCTGTCTCATTTCAGAAAAGCAAGTAGGACACTCCGAATGCGACCTTTGAATCCGACCTTCTTTCACAGGAATTCGAAGGATGCATGAGGTGTATCCTTCGCTGCTACAGATAACCCACAATAACGTCGCCGTAAACAACCGTTGTTAATTTGAAAAATACTGTACGTACGCTGCAGCTCCTCAAACATTGAACAAAATAAAACCAATTTTTTTCAAATTACTTTCCAAATTTAGAAATAATTTTCCTTGTGTGAGAGTGCAACGATGCTCTAAATGTATTGGCATAGCAACGTGATGCTTCCTGTTTCCTTTTCCGCCTGTCCTACAAAGGCCGTCTCGTTTAATTCTAGGTTGAGGACACTTCGTATATGCATCCTACAGAGGATGCAACCTCCAGAGGATTCGACCTCCGGAGGGCGCAGCCTTCTAAATGAGACAAAGCTTCTGTAGTGCTTTCCAAATCAGTCAATTACAAGGTTCCACTGTACTGCTAGATGAACACGTTTGACAGTTGCATTCACATCTCATGTCTTTTGCAGAATCTCACACAATATTGCATTTTAAAAATGTGGTGCTCAAGTTTAAAAGTTCAACTTTTAAAAAGTGTGACTCTATACCAGGGGTGCCCAACCCTGCTCCTGGCGATCGACTGTCCTGCAAAGTTCAGCTCCAACCCTAATCAAACACACCTGAAGCAACTAATTAGGGTCTTCAGGATCACTTAAAAATTAAAGGCAGGTGTCTCTGATTAGAGTTGGAGCTAAACTTTGCAGGACAGTCGATCGGCAGGGGCAGGGGTGGGCACCCCTGCTCTATACCTTCCTTTTTCCCCATTCTACTGCCCCACGTTCTGCACAAATGGCCCCTTGGAAGGTAGCTGCCCATGTAGGAAGTAGTCAGCAAGGCAGCTAGGTTTCAGAACAGAGCTAATGACTTTGCCTTGGTCAAGTGAGGTTGTAGTTGTGTATAACTGTGAACTCTTACTTCAGACATGTCTGTCTTCCTAACTGCCGGTCTCGCTCTCTGGTCACGCCGGGATTGCAGAAGGAATGAATCGCCACTGGGGTCTGTGTAGAAACAACTGATTGGTTATTTACAGCTGACAAATGTTCAGCAACAGCAGGCTCTGCAGTCCCTCCTCTCTCTCTCTCTCGAGATTCTCTCTAGCTCCATCATGCACAAGTCAAGCAATCAAAACTTGGTAATTGAAACTGAGCAAATGAAATGGCATTTAATGGATGAGACTGAGACTGTATTGGAAACTCATTTACAAGGTGGCTGCTGATCTCTCTGGGGTGCCGCTGAGGACAGGCATTATCCTAACCCCAGAGTCAATCTCTCTTCTGTATGGTATTCATAGCTGTCATCCGTCTCTGGTGGCAGTGACAGCAGCTGTCTGACGGCGGTGTCACGCATTGTCTGCTGCTCATACTGACACATACACAACCCTATAATTGTAAAAACTTCCCATAGACATCTATTGTTTCTAAATGATGTTAATCGATATGCCCCAACTCTAATGCTATCCCTGAAATGTCTTAAATTAGATATCACATTATATTACTAAATTAAAGATGAACTACAGAACGAAATATAACAATAACAAGTTTGACCTTCACCAGTATAGCAAAACACTTCATGGCATAGGTTATTATGATGATAGTCCACCCAAAAATGAAAATACAGTCATTACTTACCCTTATGGCATTCCAAACCTGTATGACTTAAATTTTCTTCTGTTTAGCTCAAAAGAAGAGATTTTGAAGAATGTTGGTAACCAAGCATTTGGATATTTCTCAAAATTATTCAAATTCCACAAAATAAATCGTCATACAGGTTTGGAATGACATGAGTGTGAATAAATTACCACTTTTATTTTTGGGTGATTCCTTTAAGTATACTGGTGAGTGTAATCTAAATGTAATCTAAAAGTCTTACCTTGCATGTGAAAAAGCACTGGTGACATACATTTGTGAGGAAAACAACCCTCCGTTCTTCATTTTATGGGAACTTACCAATAAAGGCACTCTCTGAGTCTAACAGCAAGTGTCTGCCTGGATGCTGTGCAGAATTCAGCCTCTGGGGGGGATCAACACATCAATAAAGACGTCAAGTCAATAACCAGAACCATCAGACAGCGCTAACAGAGTGCAGATACCCCCTTAAAGGGCTCACAAAAATGGGTCACAGAAAAACAGACGCACCAGTGTGTAGACTCTACTCACTTGCTCATGATGCCGCTGCCCTGAAGACACCATGTCAAAGTAATCTGCCCAGGAAATACAGGTACTGTATGAGTCTGCAGTTTTTTTTATGTAATTTTCAGTAATTATACATTTTATTTTTATAGTACCATTCAAAAGTTTTTTTTAAAAGGGGTCATATGATGCCATTTCCATTTTTCCTTTCTCTGGAGTGTTACAAGCTCTTGGTGCATAAAGAAGATCGGTAAAGTTGCAAAGACTAAAGTCTCAAATTCAAAGAGATATTCTTTATAAAATTTAAGAGTCAACCACGCCTACCTAAAATGGCTCGTTCTAACACACCCCCACATATCTACCTCACGATGTGGGAAGATTTGCATAACGCCGCCCAAATGTTCACGCAAAGAAAGAAGACGTAACTTTTATTCTCGCTGTAGTATTGTTGCCGCTGCCACCATGTTGTGGAGACGCTGTGGGTTTCGTTATGAAAGCGAAACTACTTTGTTTGGCCTTCCAAAAGAGGACACGACTAGAAATCAGTGGTTAAGTTGTATTTACAACACTGTTCCGGAACAGTTTAACCCAAACATTCAGATGTGTTTCCTGGGAGTGTATAGCCTACAATGCCGGTGTCTGTTTCTATAAAGTGGGGCAATTCCAACTTTGCAAGGACAGTCTGGCGCTTGACTCATAGCTTGTGAGTACGTTTTAATATTTAAAGAATTTGCCACTGATGATTCAAACGAGAGTTTTGAGCAGTGTAGAGTAGCGCTTGTTGTTTGTTGTTTCTCCGATCACAAATGCAGACATGGTTTTATGTTTACGCAGCGCGATAAGCAACGCGTAAAAAGACAGTATAAGTCATTATAATCAGTAATTAAGTCCCCACTGGATGCAACAAATGCCTCGTTTATGAAAATACAGTCATTACTTACCCTTATGGCATTCCAAACCTGTATGACTTAAATTTTCTTCTGTTTAGCTCAAAAGAAGAGATTTTGAAGAATGTTGGTAACCAAGCATTTGGATATTTCTCAAAATTATTCAAATTCCACAAAATAAATCGTCATACAGGTTTGGAATGACATGAGTGTGAATAAATTACCACTTTTATTTTTGGGTGATTCCTTTAAGTATACTGGTGAGTGTAATCTAAATGTAATCTAAAAGTCTTACCTTGCATGTGAAAAAGCACTGGTGACATACATTTGTGAGGAAAACAACCCTCCGTTCTTCATTTTATGGGAACTTACCAATAAAGGCACTCTCTGAGTCTAACAGCAAGTGTCTGCCTGGATGCTGTGCAGAATTCAGCCTCTGGGGGGGATCAACACATCAATAAAGACGTCAAGTCAATAACCAGAACCATCAGACAGCGCTAACAGAGTGCAGATACCCCCTTAAAGGGCTCACAAAAATGGGTCACAGAAAAACAGACGCACCAGTGTGTAGACTCTACTCACTTGCTCATGATGCCGCTGCCCTGAAGACACCATGTCAAAGTAATCTGCCCAGGAAATACAGGTACTGTATGAGTCTGCAGTTTTTTTTATGTAATTTTCAGTAATTATACATTTTATTTATATAGTACCATTCAAAAGTTTTTTTTAAAAGGGGTCATATGATGCCATTTCCATTTTTCCTTTCTCTGGAGTGTTACAAGCTCTTGGTGCATAAAGAAGATCGGTAAAGTTGCAAAGACTAAAGTCTCAAATTCAAAGAGATATTCTTTATAAAATTTAAGAGTCAACCACGCCTACCTAAAATGGCTCGTTCTAACACACCCCCACATATCTACCTCACGATGTGGGAAGATTTGCATAACGCCGCCCAAATGTTCACGCAAAGAAAGAAGACGTAACTTTTATTCTCGCTGTAGTATTGTTGCCGCTGCCACCATGTTGTGGAGACGCTGTGGGTTTCGTTATGAAAGCGAAACTACTTTGTTTGGCCTTCCAAAAGAGGACACGACTAGAAATCAGTGGTTAAGTTGTATTTACAACACTGTTCCGGAACAGTTCAACCCAAACATTCAGATGTGTTTCCTGGGAGTGTATAGCCTACAATGCCGGTGTCTGTTTCTATAAAGTGGGGCAATTCCAACTTTGCAAGGACAGTCTGGCGCTTGACTCATAGCTTGTGAGTACGTTTTAATATTTAAAGAATTTGCCACTGATGATTCAAACGAGAGTTTTGAGCAGTGTAGAGTAGCGCTTGTTGTTTGTTGTTTCTCCGATCACAAATGCAGACATGGTTTTATGTTTACGCAGCGCGATAAGCAACGCGTAAAAAGACAGTATAAGTCATTATAATCAGTAATTAAGTCCCCACTGGATGCAACAAATGCCTCGTTTAGAATGGGTTTTAATATTTTTGTCTCGTCGCTCCGGCCGGACAGGGCATCACAGTATGGTAGGTGAGAGCGACAACTATAAAGCTAACTAAAACGTTAACTATATTAGCATCCACAACAATGAACGATATTGTTCTGTTTATTATAAGCGCGCATTGCAGTTAAAATGTCTGCCGCTTTAAAATGCTCAAGCTCTTTAAAGCAGGATGGATTCTGATTGGCTGTCAATGTTTTGATCTTTCATCTGCTGAAAAAAAAAAAAAAACCTTTTGAAAGTGATACCAACAACATTGTTTCTCTTTGGTATTATCATTATAGTTGTGGTATTATTACAATTTAAAATATCTGTTTTCTATTTTAATATATATTATAATGTGACAGCAAAGCTTAATTTTCAGTAACCGTTACTCCAGTCTTCAGTGTCTTCAGAAATCATTCTAATACACTGATTTGGTCCTCAAGAAACATTTCTTCTTTTTAATATCGATGTTGAAAACAGTTGTGCTGCTTTATTCTTGTGGAAATCGTGATGCACTTTTTTAGGATTCTGATTTTATGCATCCTCGCTGAATAAAAGTATTTATTTATTTTAATAAATCATACTAACCAATACCAAAATGTATTATGATATACTATTAAAAAATGTAAAAAAAAAAAAAAAAAAGAAGCCCATCCTCAATAACAGACTGACCAGCAGCTCTGCCTCTCCTCAGGCTGTTGATGGTTCGTTGCTGTTGGCGTAACAGAGCCTGTTGCTGGATATCTAGACTGTGATCATCACTGGGGGGGTCGGGATACGTCTGTCGCACCTCCTCACGAGATGCACCATCTGATAACACAAACACACACAGATAAGAGTAATCCTCTCCTCCAGGACTACAGCCTCACTGACAGATAACACAGGGATGTTGAATAGATATATTGAGCGGAACATTAACAAACATTATCCGATCACAGAAAACACTGACACATATAGCACAGTGTTGGAAGTATTGTCCATCACATATGACAGGAGAACAGCAGCTCTGCCATGGCCAAGCCAGTTGGCACAGCGATGTAGAGAGAATCAGAGCTAAAATAAAGAGCATGACAAAGCAAGGGCATGGAGCCGAACGCCGAGTCACGGTTCACAGAGAGGCTACTCATTTCTCTCCTGCTGGGGGGTTTGATGACTGATACGACCGTTCACCCCATGAGGTGGGCAGATGGAGAGGAAGAGCTGTTGAATCCATCTTCTGAGTAGAGGAGAAGGTTAAAGATTTTCATAAGCGACATTACAGAAACAGACATTCCTCTAGGAAAACACATTAGCATTTGATACTCTATTAGCATCAGGACATTGGACGTAAAATAATCCTAGTTTCATCCAGGTTTTTGCTCTGTGGATGAAAGTGTAATTGATTAAAAGCCTCAAAAACGTTAAGTTTTATATAGATATTCTCCTGTTTAATCAGCTTATCCATTAGCGTCTGCTCCAACAACCCTGCAAAATGTGTTATTTTAGAATTATTTATATACAATTACAGTATTTTTTCACGTTTTGAATTAGCTTTTATATTTTCAGTTTTCATTTTAGTTTAGGTAATTTTACTGTGCGTTTTTTTTTTCTATGTACCATTAATTTATATCCATTTCAGTTTTGTAATTTTTGTACTTCAACTTTACATTTAATTTTTTTTTAATTTTTGTCTAATATTTATACATCTTTCATTTAATGTAAACAGTTATTTGTAGTTAACAGTAATAACCTCGATTACAAATAGCTACTTTTTATTAACTTCCTCCATCCATCCACCTATCCATCCATCCAGTCAGCATTCTGGATCAGGAAAATATAAGTCTGACTCTAAAACCTAAAATCCTTTTATGGCAAGTCAGTCCACTCAGCAGCCAGCTTGGCATGTAGCATTTTGCTAAACTCATTTAGCCAGTGTGGTAATGTGTGACTATTATAGGTGTTTGAAGAGCAGATGGTAGTTTTTTGATGTTACACAGAAGCTAACAAAGGATCAGAGTGTGAGTAACAGGAAATGAGTGTGGCTATTGGTGGATATGTGAATGTAATAAAGGCTGGTGAATGGGATTTCGGGAGCCATCACGGCTGTGATGAGTCTTTATGAGAGTGAAATTACAGACCTATTGAAGAGATCTGGAGAAGTTTTTCAAGCAAAAGACAGGAAATTCTGTGTCACATTCACCTCTGTACTTCAGATGGTTAAACTCCTGCAGGTTATGCATGTTGACCGCTGCAGTGGTGTGGGAAGCCGGCCTCCTGTTGGGGAATTGTTTGCGTAGTCTCGCCACTTCAAAAACATCCTCCGGGAGGTGCTCTTTTGACCTGTTCAATATGTAAGGCATAAGGGTCAGAGAGACAAAATAAACCTTGCCAGGATGATCAAGAGCCCAACACAAAGCATCTAGTATCATTCTGAAATGGTTTATTTTGTGATAATTACCTGTTGACTGTACATTATCCCATATTACATGGCTACTTACCAAATAAATAAGGGCAATGGTCAAATATACAGTTTAGCATTATTCCAGAAAATATTGTTCACTTAGGGTTTTTGTGGTGGGAAAGGAACTTCATTACAGGTTCTAACTAACCACACGTGTTCCGAATGTGTGTCTGCAGGATGTTTGCTACCTGCTATGAACAGGAGGGGTGTGATCATTTCTGTTAGACTGCATCAATTCTCCCTCCAGACGTCTCCGTTCACTCCGCAGCTGCCTACGCAAGGCCGATAACTCCCTGATCACAGTAGCTTTTTCTTCTAAAACACAAAGTCAGTACACAATTCAGGGATATGGTCCTTTACAACTCTGGTGGTGGCAGCAGGATGTGATGTAAGTTACCTGTGGCCCTGATCTCGTTCCTGCGGGCAGGCACTGGGGGAGAATGTGGTGCTGACATAGATCGAATCTGTTTGGGAAAAAAAATAATAATAATAAACTGTAATTAGTCTCTTTACATGTCATTCACTTAGATGTTCCTGTCTACGTTTGAGGTTGTTGTCCAGAATAAGCTGGAGTTTCTTCAACTTTGGGGACATTTTTCCATCGCAGGGGTTGATGTTTGTTATTAAAATTAACAAATTGTAACTTTTTATTTTGTTATATGAAGATCACATTAAAACAGTCTTGGAAATGTTTTATTATATTAATAATAATTTTCATGACTTTGAGAAAAAAAAAAAAAAAGACCGTTCTCCTGTTAATGCATGTTTAAACTGAACATTTTGATGGACAAAGTAAACTAGTAAGAGTGTGAAAAGTGTTTATTTTCTAAAAAAAGTGCCCATAATTGAAGAAAAACCCAAGCGTTGCCATATTAGATTGCCTATGAAGCAAGAAATATTTGAGCGCATTTGTCACTCACAGACAGAGTAGCGGAAGAGCGGTGGCTCTCCACCGATGGAGGTCTGGGCGTCTGCTGACGTATTTTCTTCTGCAAGGCTGGTAGGGGTGGTGATGGTGCCCTGTGGACCTTTTGGTATTTGAGAATAATGTGTCAGCACATTGTGTGCGCATATGAACAAATGTAACAGACCTGATAATGTGCACTCTTCACCTCCTCCAGATGTGTCTCTTTCTCTCTCTCCTGCCTCTTTCTCAGGGCTTTGTTCTCCTTCTCCTCCACTTCTTTCCTCATTTTCTCAGCCTCTTTACGGCGCTCTTCGGCTTGTCTAATCAACTCCTCATTTTTGGCCATTTGCTATAAAATAGGTGACCGAAAGGAAGCACATCCTGTGGTTCTGTACCTTGTCTTTCAAATTGCCAAAGTGTCATTGTTCATCTAATTTTCCTGTCATTTTTCCATTAATTTCAATAGGAATCTACGTCATTTCAATAGGAAACTGGAATTTCACATGATGGCGATAGAATTTCACCATACAGATTTCACATTGGATTCAAGTTGGTCAAGTGAATTCACCACGTTGACTAACAGAAAGCCAGAAAATTACTTTCTTGACCATGAGTTGTGCTTCACTGACATTGGATATAAACCTTTTTTGGCTGTGAAATTTCACCAAAATTTCTCCAATGTAACTGCTGGTACAGTATTATGACACCATTACAACGGCAAAAAGCATCTTTCCATTGACAGCCGTTCGAATGTAGCAGTTTATTAGGGATTAAAGGGGAAAGCTTATATCGTTTGCCGTTTTTTGTGTCACGCTTGGCTAGGACACTGTGTGAAGGCCTTTAGAGCAGAGGTCCCCAACCACCGGATCGCGACCCACTACCGGGCCGTGGAAGAATTGCTACCGGGTCGCAAGAACGTTCTGGGAAAAATGTGTATAGATATGACACTCTGTTATTTATTTAGGTTAATGATTGTTCTAATTATTCTGTATTTTCCTTGTATACGATTGATATGGAGCAGCAATTTGGCAATTTCATGTTATATAAGTAAATGAAAGATTGCTCTGATCTGTCACATATTAGTAGTTAAATGGATCGCAGTTGATCCACAATACGTACAAATGAGACCCTACCGTTCGGCACGCACGTGATTCGCGGATTATTTTGCCAATTTACACGTACAAGCAATTTTAAACTACAAGAAGAAGAAACGAAAGAGAGCTCAATTCGTTACTCACGCGCTGTGCTCGCACACAATCAAAGAGCGCACAAGCATAGAGATAGAGGAAATAGAGCTGCGTATACATAGGCCTACATAGGCTAAGGCTATGCAGTAAAAAAGGTAGGAGACCCCTGCTTTAGAGGAAAGACTATTTCAAGCTTAACACACTCATATGTTCAAAGTTGGTCAAGACCAGCGCTTCAAAGTGAATACATCTTCCTCTCGGCAAGCCATTTTTGCAATTCACATGAAATAACTGCAAAACAAGAACCTCTTTGTCTTTCTGACGCTTCCTCTCCTGCTCTTCCTCATACTCCCCTTGGATCCGAGCTCGCTGTTCAGTCAACCGCCTGTCTTCTTTCTCTTCCTCGAGCCTGTGCCGCTCCCTCTCTTCTGCCTCCTTTCTCCTCTTTTCCTCGATCTGTTTATCCCAAAGATGATTTCAAAGTGAGACAGCAGGCCGAAAGCACAGACAGCAGAATCCAAAGCTGATTGAATGTCCGTACCTGTTGTTTCAAGCTATCCTTGTACTTTTCCTGTTCATGGAGCTGCTGTGGAGTGGGCAGTTCATTGAAAAGGTTACCCCGGGCTTTCACAGATGGCTGAGAAGAACAAAAACCTGCAGGTTCTACAGGGGCAGAAAAGATTTGGATGGATTGCATGCAAAGGTCTTTTATTTGTAGCTTCTAAAAGCTTTGATAGTATCCACAAACAAAGTCAGAAGAGTTTTTTTTCCTAAATATTTATATTTCAGTAAATAATTTGTATATTTTAGAAATTACATTTCGCTAAATTTATATTAGTTTTAAAAATACCTTTTATATATACCATCATGGACCACCGGCTAATAACCTGCTCTAAGTGCATGTCATTGCAGATATTTAAAAATTAAATTCCATTTAAATTCCACTTTAGTTACATACTTTTTGTGATTGTGAGTCAAATTGTAATTCTGTGGCCATGGTACTTGATGCATGAGGTAAATTTCTGTCACCTGTTCTAGAAGCCACTGGAATCCTTGCTAATCTGCCTCCGGAATCATAAGCTTCCACGTTTGTTTTATGCATTTGTTTCAAATCACCTGGAAACACAAAAACATGACATTGCTATAATTTAAACCATTAATTTTCAGTGTCAGTTTGATGATAAAAATATAGCATATACAAATTATATACATTTTCTGTTCCCAATCCAAAATCTGTGAATTAACTGACACCACTGAGCAACTATAAGTGGAAAGATTGTGATTTACAGTACAGTTCAAAAGTTTGAGGTCAGTAAGAAGACATTAACACTTTAATGCCACAAAGACACATTAAATTGTTCAAAATGGACTGTAAAGAAGAAATATAATATTATACAAAATTATCTTTCAAATAAATGTTCTTTTGAAAAGTCCTGAAAAAAATGATTTAAACTAAAATATTAAGCAGCACAACTGTTTTCAACATTGAATATAATAATGCTTCTTGAGCACTAAATCAGTATGTTAGAATGATTTCTGAAAGATCATGTGACACTGAAGACTGAAATAATAGCTGCTGAAAATTCAGCTTTGCCATCAAAGGAATAAATTACATGTTAAAATATATTAAAATAAAAAAAGTCATTTGAAATTATTAAAATGTTTCATAATATTACTGTTTTACTGTATTTTGGATCAAATTGAATCAATGCAGGATTGTTGAGCAAAAGACACCTCGTTCAAAAAAGAAAAAGAAAAAAACTTACAACCCCAAACTTTTGAACTGCAGTATTTATAAGCTACAAAACGAGTTGTGCTCATAATTTTACATAACCCTTGTATCGGTATAAGTATCTCCAATGAGCATTGAGACTTTTCAGTGATTTTTCCAGTTATTCATGCTTACTGGGTAAACACTCAGTTTCTAGCTGCTGAATTATTTGAAAAATTGTCTTGACCTTTTTTCTAAATTTTCGTGATTTCTATGACCATAAGAACACTGATACATATAAATATCTGTGTCAAGTACACAATAACTTAATCAGGGCCATACTAAATAAAATATTTAAAAATGCATTATAATGTATTATTATTAATTGATTAAACGTTTTTATTTTGCAGTACCACTAACAGCCCAAAATTTGCAGATCGCACTAATTAAAGCCTCATTAAACTGTGGACAGGGAGTTGACTGAGTGAAGTGTGAACTCTGTATGCGTACTGATGAGGTTCCCATGACCATCCCTAAGAGGGGCTCCTCCTCCTGCTCTTCCCCAGGGCTCGTAGGCCTTCATCTCAGCCTCCATTTTAGCATCATACAGCTCTTTTTCCACCTTCTCGCGATGCCGTCTCTGCTGTCGTTCTTGAATCTGTGCACCACAATTTAGACAATTAGGCTTTGTTCAAACTGCACATCGTCTGATTTGTTGTTCAAATCCCAAATAAAAAATAAAAACAAGTTTAAATCATATCTGACATTTCCACAAATCAAATTTTTTTTTGCTGTTCATTGTACAAATAACTAAATAGATGGGGGAAAAAAGGATTTTTGCTGCCTACCTGAAAAAAAAAACCTCAATGTCAGATACTGTAAGAATGTGCCATCAAAATCAATGTAGTACTACTCCACATGTTGTAATCAGACTTTAAAAGTACACGGAGGAAAGTTCAAACTTTCAGTTCACCACTTAAAAAGGTAATTGCGACGTTTTATCTCACAATTCTGACTTTTTTCTCATAATTGCGTGATACAAACTCGCAATTGCTAGTTAAAAAGTCATAATTGAGATATAAACTCGCAATTCAGAGAAATAAAGTCAGAAATGCGAGATATAAACTCACAATTCTGACTTTTTTTCTCGCAATTGCGTGTTTGTATCTCACAATTCTGTGAAAAAAAGTCAGAACTGTGAGATAAAAAGTCGCAATAAAAAAAATTTTTATTCAGTGGCGGACACGGCTTCCATAGAAAACTATTAGGTACAGTACCATTCAAAAATTTGGGGTCAATATCTGTTTTGATTTTTCTAAAAAGGATAAAGAAATGTATCATTTTGTTCAGCAAGGATGCATTAATCTGATCAAAAGTGACATTTACAAGTGAAGACATTCACATGTTACAAAATATTTCTATTTCAAATAAATGCTGATCTGTTGAACTTTCTATTCAAAGACTCTTGAAAAAAGTATCAACAAAAAATATTGGTAACACTTTAGTATGGGACTAATTCTCACTATTAACAAATTGCTTATTAGCATGCCTATAATTAACATATTGGTTGTTTATTAGTACTTATAAAGCATTTATTCTGCATGGCCATATTCTACATCCCTAATCCTACTCAATACCTAAACTTAACATCTACCTTACTAATTATTAATAAGCAGTAAATTAGGAGTTTATTGAGGCAAAAGTCATAGTTAATGGTTTGTTAATAGCTTAAAATAAAGTGTGTATAATAGCCAAAATATTAAGCAGCACATTACTGAAAATAATAAGAAACATTTCTTTAGCAACAAGAATGGTTTCTGACTGGAGAAATGGCTGCTGAAAACTCGCCTTGGCCATCACAGAAAAAAATGTATTACATTTTTAAAATATATTACAATAGAAAACCATTTTTAAGTGTTCTTTAATTTTTAAATTGTAATAATATTTCACAACATTACTGTTTGGATTGAATTTTTGATCAAATAAATACAGCATTGGTGAGAATAATAGACTTCCTTCAAAAGAAATCTTACCAACCCCAAACATTTGAACAGTAGTGTTCACTCAATGAACTTTCATCTAACAATTTAATAAATTATTTAATTTTAATTAATAAGATCTTGAAAAGTAGCTAGTTTTAATAAATGTGATAATCACCTATTTAGAATGTAGTGCATGTTTTGTATAAACTACTTTTGTTATATATATTTTTATTATATTTTCATTATGGATAAAAATCTTAATGACCACAAGAAAATGAAGCACATTTTAGAGCTATTGATAGTTTTTGCATACTGAATGTTTCATAACAATTTAAAGGACTTTAGCATAAAATAAGCTTCATTTTTATTATTTGCTGAATATTTATGCTAAATATTCGTATTATTTTATTTCTTGTTCTTTAAATTGCCCTGAAAATGTCATTATGCAAAAAAATTCCTAATGGTTTTAAAAATAAGTAGCACACCCCTAGTTATTTCTCATATTTAAATCTTACATTTTTTAAATATTAAATATATATACAAAATTAAACGTATTAATTATATGATGCTTATTAATTCATTAAAATATTTTTTCCTTATTCTTTAAATTTAATATAGAAACCATATAAAATCTAAATATAAAACTATGAATATTCAAAGACTAAAAAAACCTTCACCTTTTTTTCTGGATCAACAGCGCCTGTTGCAGCCACTCTCAACTCTAGCTCCTTCTCCCTGTAAAATTGAGTTTAGATGGTCAAGTGAATATTTGAGCCCTTAAAGGTTTTAATTCAAATACACACAATCAGCATTTCAAATACTTGATGTTTCTCACTTCCTTTTGTTCTTTTGCTGTTCGGCTATTTGCTGTAGCAGCTCCAGCCTGTAACGTTCCTTCCTCCTCTGAGAGGCCTCATTCCCTTCAGTAGCACCTAAATAACCCAGTCACAGGTCAGAAATTACACACATTTTTATATATACTCTACATACAGTTTGATTTGACCCAACACTCATTGTCTTACCAATCATGAGTCCTGTGGCAAACTCAGTCATGTTCTGTTCGTTAACAGATCTGCTTTGCGCTGGAGTCGGTGCTTGTAGACTACATCAAAATCACACAAAGGAACAAAAATCTCCATCCAGTGTCTTACACTAAACACACCCTGATCTCTGCAGCCCCAGCCAAACTATTATGTCAAACACATCACATATACAGTGAATTAAAGAGCTTGGCTGCAGAGCCATCAGAGGCTTTGTGCCTCCTCATCAACACCAATCAATACAATCCCACTGATGGAATGCACAATAAATCCAGCCGATCCACAAAACTCAGCGTTTCCTGTCTCTGTATTGTTAGAAACCCTCAAGTACAACCTACAAAAGACATGAAATCTTAAAGGTAAAATGAAGGCTGAAAACCATCACACCAATTTTTTTTTCCCCACCCCAGGTGGACTCGAAAGGCAGCAAATTGATGGGAGGTTTTATAAATACAGACTTCTGCTAGAGTAATTGCCACTTCAGCTATTTGATTCACTGTAGTTTTATTTTCAGTGAAAGACTGGCTTTAAACCCCAATTACTCTAATTGCAGATCAGTGCTCGAGTAGAAGTGCTGTTAGGGTCGGTCTATTCTCCTGACAGCTGTCTGCATTAACTGTGTCTAGTAGGAAAGACGTCAAATTTAACAGAGATTACAGCCTGTACAACCCTTCTACTTTCTACATTTGCTTATATTTGGCTCTTCAACTGTTCAAGTTATTTTTATTTGAATGTTGCTATGGTGATGATAGTTATTTTTCGCAGATATAGTCGGTTTGGTTGAGGTTGTTAATTTCACGTCCTCTACAAGTTGTGAAAAACACCATCTGCGAGTGTTTCTTTTTGATATTATTGCACAAACATATTTAAGCCTTTTTGCCTGCTTAAACCATCTTTCCATTTATACATTATATTGCACTATAATATAATTACAAAATAGAAAACATTTATTATAAATTTTAATAATATTTTACAGCAATGATGTTTTAACGTATTTTTGATCAAATAAATGTCGCTTTGGTGAACATGGGAGACTTCTTTCAAAAACATTTTTTAAAATCATTTCAACCCTAAACTTTTGGCAATGGTAAGGGAAATGGATATTAAATATGATATTCATATATTGCATTTTTTATTTAATTATTTATAATGTGAGAAATGAGAATTATTTATCATGTTTATTAGCCATTGTATAAAAATATCTTACGCCACAATGCCACAAATGACCAATCAGAATTAAGTACTACAGACTAATTTGTGATAAAAATGCATAAAATTATAACCAAAATTATACAACCAATCTGCACTATGGTAAAATCTGCACCGTGCACTTATTTATGGTAACAAATATGTAATATATGCAAAATGTCTCTGAAAATGTACAAATAATATATATATATATATATACACACACTTTACGTAAGCAACATCTATTTAAAACATTTTCAAAATGCAATTATATTCTAGAAAATGTAATAAATGGACATGCATGGGGATGAATTACATAGATATATCATTTTGTGAATGACATTCACTCATAATCCCTTCCAATCCATGGGGTTTTCATCAGAGTTCCATATGGGCCTAATTATAACCTATACATCTGACTTGAGATGGAAGTCCCTCAAGTGAATATTATTCTTATTATTATGTTTCCACAAATACAACCACATCAACTTCTGAGTGCCACCAGAATAAACAGCAATAGAGAGAACATGTAAGATGCACCTGTGAGAGCTGTTGTCGTGTTTTCCTCCTCTCCTGGTTTTGCCTGTGTCTTCCTGTACATTTCTATGCCTCTCCTTCTCTAGGAGCTCTATTTCCTCATCAGAACTAGTGTGATCTCGGTGAGGGCCTCCCCAGCGATCCGGCACTCCAGAAATGGGCTCAGTCACAGTGGCAACATCCCTTTTTGAGAACGCAATGTTCTCCAGGCTCTGACTGGCCCTTTGCGCTTGTACCTCTAGAGAACCAGTAGGGTACTTTGGAGTAATAGAGCCAAAGCGATCTCTCTCCAGGGCCTGACAGAAACATGATCAACATATGCTGAGGATTCAAGGCAAAGTTCAGGTCTACAGAATTTAAAAGAATAGTTCACCCAAAAATGAAAATTTGATGAAAATATCACTGGAGGAAGCAATATTATGGATAGAGGACTTGCTGGAGGTGACAGTTTAAAGTTAAAACATCTTAATAATGCATTTGTTTCTTACAAATACACAGCTTCTTGCTTCACAAGACATTAATTGATGGACTGGAGTCATCTTGATCCCTTGTTTTTATCAGCTGTTTGGACTCTCATTCTGACGGCACCCATTCACTGTAGCGGATCCATTGGTGAGCAAGTGATGTAATGCTACATTTCTCCAAATCTGTTCCAATGAAGAAACAAACTCATCTACATCTTGGATGGCCCTAGGGTTAATGAATTGTCAGCAACTCTTCATTTTTGGGCGAACTACTTCTTTTAAAATGTTTAAATGGTTCAATAAGGACATTTGTGAAGGTAACTTATTCCTAATGTTGATGTATAGGTCATATTTCAACAAACTAGTGTTTTATTTCATTCATACCTGTGGGGTAGCGGAAGTTTTCCCATTTTTCTGTGCTCCCTCTTGCCCTCGGAGAAACATATTATATTCCTTGTTCCTCTCATCCTGCAGTTTTTCCTGGGTAGAAATCACAAAACTCTTACATTAACAGAACAAAACATAAAACATTTCTATTGTAATAATAAACAATTAACATTATTCCTAGTATAAGACCTCTTTATGTTTGTACGAATCTCACATTTCAAATGTGTACGCAAAACAGATCTGCAGTCCAGCAATAAACTGGTTGCCACTAGATACTTTATCCACTCAGAGTAAGCAAATCATTTTTCATGTCACTGAGGGCTTGCCAAACAGTAAGGGTGGGTCTGAAGGACTGAAGCAGGTCATGCATGGAATGCGGAATTTGCTGTAATTATGCCTTAATTTACAGATGGACAACAAACACATATTTACTTTCGCTGATCTCCGTTCTTTTATGGGAAGAGACAGCATGTGGGACTGTGGAAGTGGATCAGCAATAATTAGATTTTTTTTCTAAGGAAGAAATAAGACGAATTAAATCTTTATAAAAAAATATATAATAATTTTAAATGATTAACAAACTATTTAAATATGTAGTTAAAAAAACAAACAAAAGAAAAACAGGTGTGCAAGTAATATATTATACAGCATATTTCAAATATTTATTTAAATATTACATTATATTATATCAGAGGAGCATAGTGTACCTCAGACATAAAGCGCCGGTAATCGAGACGTAGTTCTTGCTTTAACTTCTGCTTTTTTCTTTCATATTCCTCTCCAAGAGGTAAACTGAGGCCAAAACTCTCTTCTGGAAATAAGACGACAATATGAAACATCTCCAATAGCAAAAGTGAGAAAGAACAGACACTGATTTTAAAATGTAATATCCAATATCAAGTATTTCCTATATGATTTTGCCTGAAATTATATTGAAATTTATCCTGCCTTTGGTCTGTTTGAGTTGTGAATGTTGTGTTTTGTTAGCAGGTCTGATGTTCTCCTTGTTACCAAAGCTTGTCTATGAAAGAAAGTCAAACACTATAAATACATAGACATAAAAATGTTCATGTTTTAACACCTAAACGCATCAAGCAGCACTATTTAATTAGAAATTAAGCTTACCTTCATCTCCATGTAAGGTGCTTCTTCTGTGTTCGCCCTTTTCTCCTCCATAAAGTTGCTGATGTTGACACTCATATTCTCCCAAACCAGAATCAGCAGGTAATAAAAAGCTCCAGACAGGAAAGAATTCCTTATCGGACGAAGCTCTTATCAATAACACAAGAGTGAATATGCTGCTCTCTGGGCATGGAAATGAAGAAAGACCTGTTCAGAGGAGGAGGAGATGGAGAGGACGGGGAGTGCAGACGCTGCAGACGCAGAGGTTGTTAGGCAACAACACAACACACGCGCCTCAACCTCCCACACTTCAGACAATGGCTGTGTCCCAAAACCTAGTGGTTAGCCGATCGAAGACAGCATTTTTGAGCGCATTCTGAATCAATAGTGGGAAAGCAAATCAAACCGGTGCGGTCAACTCCAACCGTTTGTTTGTACTTGTTAAAAATCTTGCGTGTCCAGGGTGTGATCTGACTTTCGTTTACCTGAAACTTTTACGTGACCGTCTTAAAAGTGAACATAATGTCAACCATACGAGACGGCTATTAATAGTATCTTGCGCCTTATGTGGACCCAGTGCTACTGACTAACAGAAACCATTCAAAAGTTGTTCTCACAGCTGACTATAATACATATTTCAAAATAAAAGTCCTATTTTTACTGACTGGCCTTACAAAAATGACCATGGTAACCATAGCTTCCGTTCCGCTACATAAACACTGATTCAAATTTTTTTAAAGGAGGAAAAATATCCAACTCTATCCACATATAAAATCTGGCATAGTTTGGTGCATCGAGAGGAAAACAGACCTTTAAATGTTAAACAGAATGAATACAGGTGCATCTCAATAAATTAGAATGTCGTGGAAAAGTTCATTTATTTCAGTAATTCAACTCAAATTGTGAAACTCGTGTATTAAATAAATTCAATGCACACAGACTGAAGTAGTTTAAGTCTTTGGTTCTTTTAATTGTGATGATTTTGGCTCACATTTAACAAAAACCCACCAATTCACTATCTCAACAAATGAGAATATGGTGACATGCCAATCAGCTAATCAACTCAAAACACCTGCAAAGGTTTCCTGAGCCTTCAAAATGGCCTCTCAGTTTGGTTCACTAGGCTACACAATAATGGGGAAGACTGCTGATCTGACAGTTGTCCACAAGACAATCATTGACACCCTTCACAAGGAGCCACAAACATTCATTGCCAAAGAAGCTGGCTGTTCACAGAGTGCTGTATCCAAGGATGGGATCCATGCATGTGAACTGCTCGTACCCTTGCCACAGAAACAACAACAAAAATTATTTTGGCTGTTTACTTAAGTAATACAATTGCATCACTGCATAGAAGTCATGTAGGCTACATGCAAATGAACTGAAATGCAAATTAGAAATGAATGTACCATGTGGCCAGTCAACCAGAACTGAAAACATGCTATGCTTGGTTCAGTCCAGCAGATGGCACAAACAAATGTCTTGATTGTGTACAATCACTAATAATGTTGCAAGCAGCCACGTGAACGTCTGTTGATGGCCAAGCAGATGCAAAGCACATGTGCTTTTTTATTTTTTTATTCAAAGAACAATAACACACAATATGTTATCAAGAAAATAATATTAAAAGAAAAAGAAAAATACAGGACAAATTACAACAAACTTCAATACAAGATATACACACATACACGTGTACGTATATATAAAATCAAATAAATATATTGTAAAGTTCTCAAACTTTCAAAGTTCTTACAGCTTTCTTATTCACAGTCTCTGATACTGTCAATATATATATATATATATATATATTTCAGTCAACTTATAAGAAACATTTGGTTTTTATTGGTAAATTTACACTTATGAATGGGAAATTTGGTCAATAGAATAAGTAAATTAATTAAGTAAAAGTACTGTTCCTCTTGGTCAGGATAGTAAGTAAAGCCAAAGAGTACATTTTCCCATAGGAGTGAAGAAGGTCTTAAACTCTGAATATTTTCGCTAATACATTTTTGGACCTTACACCATAGTGTAACCGAGTATGTACAGTACCAAAATAAGTGCAAGGTACAAAAAAAATACAATTTACATTTATTCCTTTTTTTAATTTTTGTAAATAATGATTTGCTGGATAAAATCTATGAATAAGCTTATAAGAAACTTCTTCAATCTTATTTCTAAGATGATATTTCTGTGGTAACAACCACACTTTTCTCCAGCAAATCAATTTTCCCTTCAATAAAGAGACCCAACAAAACATACGGTATAGTAACAATTTCTCTTTGGAAAAGAGTACAGATAGCTCTATTATTATTTTTTGGATTTGCAAAGCAAAGCACATGTGCTGTTAATCTGATTTATATCAGGTGTGTCATTTTAGACGAGTCTGTCATGAGATGAAATATCATGTCTGTTTTAATGCTGATGTGCACCTATTTGTCTTTATCTTGAATTGTGATATCAAAGTGCTCTGAAGATTTATCATTTGCATATGAAATCTTTATATTAATATTTTCTAATTCCTCATATGAAACGCTTAGAACAGACAGACAGACAGATGATAGATAGATAGATAGATAGATAGATAGATAGATAGATAGATAGATAGATAGATAGATAGATAGATAGATAGATAGATAGATATTTAAATATTTGTAATATTTTAATTTTAATATAACATTTGTTCTAAGAAATTGTTGTATACAATTAAAGATGCTAAATGTATTTAATTATATAAAATATAGAAAGATAGATTAAATACAACAATTTTAAATATTTGTAATATTTTAATTTTAATATAACATTTGTTCTAAGAAATTGTTGTATACAATTAAAGATGCTAAATATATTTAATTATATAAAATATAGAAAGATAGATTAAATACAACAATTAAGAGATAGAGTAATTACAGTTTATTAAACACAATTCTTGTCTTAAATTATATTGTTAAATATAATTTAATACCGGTATATTCAATTATTTGTTTTCTTTGGAGCTTAGAACGACAGACAGACAGAGATAGATGGGGGGAGGGATACTGTCATTTTTGTCCTAAAAATTGTATTGTATATAATTGAATTTGTTAAATATATTTAATCACATAAAACATATTTAAATATATTAAATTATTTGTTTTCTTTGGAGCTTAGAACGACAGACAGACAGCCTGGCGTGCCTGCTGTACTGTTCTGCGTTTGATGAACTTATGAAATATTCGTATTCTTTTGATAGACTACTTATGTTTTCTCATTGGATCTTTGCACGTCCGCTTGGCTCGACGTGCATGACGTCATTTCCGCTCGTGGCTTGGCAGGGAGGAGGCGGGGTGCTGAAATGACATTCGGCCCCACCAACCAAAGCATATTTCCCGAAGCCCCTTGATTAGGAGCAATAAAGCGCTCTTGACAGCCGTCCAGGAAGACGGAGACACTTATTAGCCAGATAGCTGGCTGAACACCTTACGGCAAAATGGCGGCGGGTAATGTCAACCCGTTTAACGTGAGTGATTCGGAGGAGGAAGAGGAGCAGAGGCAGGATGAGGACACCGAGCGCAGCCCGAGTGATGAAGCGCAAGGCCATAGCCTCGGCCCCTTCTCCCCGCCGGCGTACTCCGAGCCAGCCGTTCTGCTGTCCAGCAACAGAACAAGCCCGAGTGTGGACGGTATACCCGCGTCGGCCGCTGCGGTGGCTGGGATCGGAGGAGGAGGCGCAGAGACTCGGGTGTCGCTGGATGCGATCGCCGCGAAGCTGCTCCAGGATCAGTACATCCTCACGGCCCTGGAGCTGCACACCGAGCTGCTGGAAGCCGGACGCGAGCTGCCTCGCCTGCGGGATTATTTCTCCAATCCAGGCAATTTCGAAAGGCAGAGCGGAACTCCACCCGCATGCAAAGAGCAAGGTGTCGGTCCTGGAGGTCCACTTAGTAAGTCATGAGATTATATGTTAAAGGGGTCATATGATGCTTTTTTAAAGATCATTATTTTGTGTATTTGGTGTAACAGAATATGTTGACATGCTTTAATGTTCAAAAAACACATATTATTTTTCAAATTTCTTTAGCATCATATGACCCCTTTAATAATGTAGGTCCAACTGCAATAAAGCCTATAATCTTACTATATGAGCATTATGAGGGAATGATCGTGTTTCAAAAACTACGAGACTGTATATCCTACTCAAAAACATTTAAAACAATTCTAAAATGGTTTACTGGTCTCCTAACCTGGTTAGGCTGGCTGGTTTTAAGGCTTTGGACACTTGTCAGCTGGTCGACCAGTTAAACTAGCTGAACTCCACTTGGCCAGTCTGGAAGACCAGCTAGACTAGGCAGACCAGGCAGGGAGACCATATTAGTCTGGTTTAAGAGTTTTTTTTGTTTGGTTTGTTTTTTCTTACAGTAGGACACCTAGTTAGCACCTAAATTAATGCCCAAAAATGCTTTCTAGGTAGGCAGCTCACTAGGTTTTGGAGCTGGACACCTAGTTAGCACCTAAATGAATGCCCCAAAATGCTGTCTAGGTAGACAGCTCACTAGGTTTTGTAACAAAGCCACTCTTTTCTTTTGCTCTTTAAACAGCCATAAAATACACCAACACAGCAGCTTTTAGTACTCTATCTACTTAGACTACCTGTTAATTTGTGCTTCAGTCTAATGCATTCAAGCACACTGGTTTGTTGAGGAGGCATTTTTAGGGCTGGATTGTGTCTTTGTTGTGTGATGTGATGTGAAGTCTTCCCACTGACTCTCAGCTGCACAGGTGCAGGATAGAAAGAGGAGAAAAAAAGATGCTCATATGAGGGGTATGTAAAACCTGACTGTGTGCAGTGATATGTGGGATTGATGTACTTTGTTTGGTTTAATCGGGAATTATTTTCGTGGTCTGTCTTTCTTATACCTTTGCTCCTAAATGAAGTTTTTTTTATCTGATAGCCTGCACTCATCTGCCTCCCATTTGCCTTTCAAAGCATGACTTTTGAATTTGTTTTTCTTGATTATTAGGGTGCATGTAGTTACAGTGTGAATTGACAATTGCTAGATCCAATTATAGTGTGGATCATTTATGAAAGAATTTCATTGATTAAAGATTTATTTTTGCAAAATAATCGACCCTTTGTTAAAAGGAGCTGTTCCTTCTTTGAAATCAGTTACAAAAATCAATAATCTAAAGGGAAAGTTCATGCAAAAAATGTAAATTCTGTCGTCATTTACCCCCATGGTGTTTCAAAGCTGGCGTCTTTCTTCTGTGGAACACAAAAGAAGATATTTTGAAGAATACTGGCAACCAAAACGATTTGGTTACCATTGACTTCTATTATTTGGACAAAAAATACATTTCTCAAAATAGCTTATTTTATGTTCTACAGAAGAAAGATTCTCTTACAGTTTTGCAACATCAGAGTGAGTAAATGATGACAGAATCATCTTTTTGGGGGAAGCTGTCGCTTTAAGACCCACCTTAAAAAATTTTTGTTGACAAATTCTACCTTAGCAACTGTTGCCATTCACCATAGGAAAGCTTTTGTTCTGATGTGTTTGGACAGTTATAGAATATTGCATAAATTATGGGGGTTAAATGTTAACCAGTGACACAAAGACTCTGAGGTTTTTTTTTACTCTTAAACTTTATTTTTATTTATAATTTTTTTTAAGTAAAGTGTTGTGGATTAAACTGCTGTAACCTTCATTCACAAATTAACAATTATAATATCAATAAATAAAAATAATGTTAAATAGTCAACATTTTAATAAATAGTAATGTTAAAAATAAATACTCATTTTAATTAAGATAATGTTTATAAAAAAAACAAAAAAAACAATGGCCATTGCAAAAACATTGACAGCCAATCAGATGACTCGAGTGTTTAAAGTGGCAAAACTGGTGTGTGGATGCTAATATAGTTATCGTTATAGTTCTATTTAGTTATCGCTCTTGGTGTGCACAGGCCTTAAATCAGTGTCTCATATGAATCTTGTATGATGATAACATAATGGAACATTTCTGTGTGTTGCTGAAGCTCGTGCATTAACCGCAGGTATTCTACAGTTTGATTGAATGAGGAAGAACTGATCAAATTTTAGACTGAATACTTTCAGGTCTGTCCTGGTTGTATTACAATTATTCCTCAATTTTTATGCAGGGTGTTTTTGCGTGAATGCCTGGCATAAGTGCACATCAACTGCACATTTTCTCAGCTGCTGCTGACTGATCATGTGGGTGGGCATGTTAAAATGGCTTTCATGCAGGCTTATTCATGATTCAAAACCATCATTAATCCATCTAATCAGATGCCTATTGCAAAGAGTATTATATCTGAATATTTGTTCCGTTTCACATGACAACCATCTTTCCTTCATCGAAGAGACTTAGATCTGATATGATTAAGATCACTAAAATTGCATGTAGTCCTGCAACTAGGGCTGCACAATTAATTGAATTTCTAAGCTCAATTACAATTATGGATGCCACAATTACGTAAACGTTCAAAGCGGCAATTTAATCGTTCAAAGTCCACTTATGTTATTCTGCACGCTTAAGATGCGGTTTTTTCTTTCTACATGTTATCTTAAGAGTTTTTCCCATTATTTTAATTTTAGTTTTAGTATAGCATTATAATACCATTCATATTTTTACTTTTTTATCATTTAAAGAAGAAAGCAACCCGATGTATAGTTGACATTTGAGGCTTAATGCTATAGAAAAGTTTTCAGTTAGTGTTTTCAACTTGTTTATAAACGTCATTCAATGTAAATTGTGATAATCGTAAATTAATAAGCGCAATTATAATTTCAAGGGAATAATTGACAATTATGATTTCTGTCATAATCGTGCAGCCCTACAGGCCGCAAACCTTTCCACAGTACGTGAAAACCTTAATTCGTTATGTAAAATCAATTGATGTAATTATAAATTCCTTGATTTGACAAATGATGCTCTCAGAAATAAAACAATCCTATTCTAAGACCTCTAAAATGGCCTATGAGTTCCAAAATGTTGTTTTTCCCCCAGTGATTCTATAGATTTTGGGTTCCTCAATGAGCCTTTCAGTGGACAGCTCTTTAAGAACCTTTTTTTTCTTAGTGTGAAGAACATTTGAATCATTGAAAGAATCCTTTTCCACTATAAAGGAAATGGAAAGGTTCCATGGATGTTAAAGTTTCTTCGTGGAGCCATCGATGCCAGTAAAGAACCGTTATTTTTTAGGGTGTCGGACCTAAAGACAGGATGTGACCTCACCTCATCAGCTGGTGACACCGCTCTCCAGGGATTGGGGGATGCTGTAGAAATTAGAGGAGTAGACCTGGGCTGCCTGTTACTTTCAACCAATCCATATTTTTTAAACAGTATTTTTTCTACTACTTAGTCTGTATTGTAGACTGTACCGTAAGCTTACTGCACATAAATGGCTTTTGAATACATGCGTAATTGCCGCTGACGGCTGTGTATTGACCTGGCTCTAAGAACACAGAGGTTTTAGGAACCACAGGGTTTTATTAGCGTTATGGAGCAAAGCCTCTCCCCAAAAGAGGATCTGGCAACCAGCTGAGAGGGAGCAGATGGCTCTCAACTACGCTTCTGTCACGTCATTGCAGGAGGAGACATTATCAACACCTCACTCAGTCTCGCCGATATTTTACCCTTTGCTAGAGAGAGACTCGGCATTCGCTTGAGAAGCGTTTCTGGGATGAAAAGGCTTCTGTGTGTTTAGGATGTGAGAGGATTTGAAGCAACGCTGAATGAATATTGTAACCTGTATGATGCTAGCAGCTGTCGGGTTGTCATCAAAGTGTTCGCCGCACAATTGACTGTGCCCCCCACCGCCCCCGAGCCTATTCATTGAGCTTTGAATGACACAACAAACAGACCAGAATACTCCATTAGGCCTTATAAATGTATTTCAATTTTCTACTGATTCTTACAATACAACATTCTGCAGACCTGCATTGACATACTGCCTACATACACATTAAAATGTCAATGTCAAGATTCAGGCCAGGGTTGTTCTTGTCATTGTAAATGGTAAAGCTCACTAGATGTTTTTATTTTTTATTTTTTATAAAAGTAAAATTTAAACCATATGTCAGTCAGTATACACTACTAATCAAAATTTTGGCATCAAGAAGATTTTTTGAAAGAAATTCACAGTACAGGCTTTTATAATGTTACAAAAGATTTCCATTTCAAATAAATGGTGTTCTTATGAACATTCTATTCATTAAAGAATCCTAAAAAAATGTATCAAGGCCTCCACAAAAATATTAATAAGCGCAGCTGTTTTCAATATTGATATAAGAAAAGTTATTTGGGCACCAAATCAGCATGTTAGAACAGTTTTTGAAGGATCATTTAGATATAGATATATTAAAACAAAAACAGTTATTCTACATTGTAATATTTCACAATATTACTGTTTTTTTTACTGTATTTTTGATCAAATTAATGTATGCGTGAGCATAAGAGACCTCTTTTTAAAAAAATCTTACAGACTCCAAAATTTTGAATGGTAGTGTGTAATAGGAGTCTGGCCACAGGTGAATTTATTTGTTTAATGTGACCTGTGCTATGCTATTATGATCCAACCCCATTTTTGTAAATGTACCCCATTCTTACATGGTAAAAAGACTGTTTTCATGGGAAAATAGATTGTTGCACTTCTGTGGTGCATACATGTAGTAGCTGAAGCGAAAAAGTGGGAGTAAAAGTATAAGGTAAAGTAAAATAATGAGAAGAACGAAGAATGCGTGCAATCTCATGGGAAAAAAAACATAGGCTTAAGTAACTTGTCTCCAGGCCTACTGGGGTCCTTCCTAAGCCTGTAGGCCTAAACCTTCACATTCATGTGGCCCTGAAGGTGTGGCTTTGGTTTTTAATTATTGTGGAAACGACCTTTGTAGTTATTGCTTTATTTGTTGATTTTGGTAGC